TTGTAGTATGCACAATGAATGCTGAGGGTGGCCTTTCCAGAATGCTGCAGACGCAGCATCATGAATGAAGGAAGTGAGGTTCCAGACTTCACTAACACCACGTGCAGCTCCACACACTGCATGTCTGGAGCAGGCTGAACACAATGCGTGTGCCCTGGGGATCTTCAGCGGAAGGGAAGGAGGGATGTTTTGGTGAAGAAGTGACGCAGGAGAGGGGACAAATACTCGCACATGCCTGAAAACAGAATGTAAATTATTTTATTAAAGGCTGGCCATACAATTAATATTCCTCACGTTCAGTGCTGCAGGCAGAACAAGAGATCCATCGATTTCCCCTTCCACGCTATTTAGCCTTGCTGCAAGTTATTGTGCACTTGAACAATGCAAGTATCTGATTGGATGTAGGCAACGATCAGATTAAAATTCAACAAAAGTCAGATGAAAAATTGACCTTTGTTGAGCGTGTTGGGGGGGATTGGTCCGCACAACACGAATCAGCCAAAGTTCAAGCAATGTATGGCCTGCTTAGGTCTACCTGTCATGCTATGTTTCATGTTACATCCATTTAAAGTGTATTTCCAATTTTGCAGTCAAATTATAGAAACCCTCTCTATATGTTCTGTGTGTGTGGTCCCATTCACACAGCATAACGAAAAATCATATTTTAAAAAATATAATTTTTACCTTTTCGATGTTTTGTTGCAGCAGACAACAATCGAGGTTTATCTCAGCACCTTCACAGTGATCTGTCATTATAGAAAGACTTCAGTAGGATACACACTGAGTGAATTTCAGCTGATTCATCTGAATACGTGACCCTATGCCATCGCCAGAAGTGGATCCTTAAGCTGGCCATACACTGTAATATTTTCTGTGTTCAACCCGTGGGCTGAATGAAGAACAGTTAATCTTCCATCAAAGCTTACTAGCGTTGATCGAGGAATCTCCCGGTGTTTGCACTGTATTCTGACAGCGGTGTAGATGGAGGAGTCTTTGCACTTTTTCCATCTGAACATAGAATATCTGCAGACAATCTATAGGTGTATGGCCATTTTAAGTCATGTGTGTTCATGGTATGTTGGATACACTTATAGCTGTTGTCAGAATACCGGAACTGAGCCGGTAACTGATTGGCTGCCAACACTGTTCATTCAAAGATTTTCCAACTAGCTCTTTCCATCAGCTGATCGAGGGATGCCGGCCAAAAGGGTGCTGCCAGCAGCATCCACTGAGTGAATTTCAGGCGGTTCATCAAGAACCGGCATAGAGCACAGCCAGCTTTAGATCGACTTTTGCTGAGGGAACATGTTTGAAAATCTTGAACAGTGATTGCAGCCAATCAGCTGCGAGCTGGTGCTGCTGTCAGAATACAATACAAGCGGTGTATTCGTCCATTCATGCTGTTCAGCGTGGTTGGAGGAATCTGTTCTATTTCTTCATTCAGCCTGCAGGTTTAATGAAAACATAGAACCGTGTATACCCCACTTTAGGACTGAAATGTAAGGATTGTGTTTCTCTCATTAACTTCATTAACACACAGTGCAAAGCCCCTCACAGCCCCTCCTAACATTATAAGGAAGAAGAAGCAAGTAGAAATGTTAACCCTCAAGAAGCCAAGAAACCCTAACCCAAGCAAAAGAAATGTACACTGCAAGAAGCATTTTTTCTAATTGTTGTAGCTTGTGCGATGTGAATGGGAACATGAAACAAATATAAAATAGGCGTTATCCCAATTTGGCTGCAAAAGTGGAAATACATTTTAAAGTAGTATTAAGGTATGGGCGTTGTTTTACCTTAATGCATTCTCTGCATTAGGGTGAAAACGGCCCAGCACCTTTTTTCTACCCCAGTCCCCCTCAAACTTACCTGTCAGCTGCTCTCGTCCCCGCCGCCGGTCCGAAGAGATCCTCCGTTCCCCGAACCTCCGGGTTGCGGGGGGAGGATACTGATGGCAGAGGAGCCATAGGCTCCTTCTGCTATCAATCAAAGAGGGAAGAGGTGTGGCCTACCACAGGGCTGTGTGTGTCTATGGACGCACACAGCCACTGCAGAAACGAGCGTGCATGGGTGCCTCCATTAGAACGATGGTGGCATCCATGCAGGGGGAAGTGCGCTGCGGGGAGAAAACTAGAAATTAGGAACTTTGAGGGAATAAAATCAACGGTCTCCAGCAAAGGAGGGTCTCCTTAAAGGAGAAATATTAAAAAAAGTTAGGCTTTAATATCCCTTTAAGGTGTAACATGGATCATGGTGCCATTCCGCAGCCCCCGCCCCCCTCAAATTGCCCCACTACTTCCCTGAATAGTGAGGTTCTTCTCCTCTGTGCAGCATTCAATATTGGCTCCATCCGTTCAGCCACGTCTTTATTCACAGGTCCTGAACAAGGGATCCTGCGTGGCCCTGAAACGTTGCCTTTGATGATGCATGTGACCCATGGTCAATAAAAAGAGACAAGGATTCACTTTCTGATCTTCTGTGAGTGCCGGTGATTTTCTATTTGATACTTTTAGGATCGGTAGAGTTCAATGATGACTTCCTCCATTCCATAACGGAAGGTCTGTACTGAGGTAGGGCTATGCTCATAATCTTCCTTCCGCCAGCCAGTCAGTGCAGGGGTGCGTCTGGAGACCCTCTTGGAGTGCAGCTCCTGGGGCTAAAGATCTAAGTGACCCTTGTTACAATGTCACAGGAAATAAAAAAACACAAGGAAATGATCTAAAGAGGAAGAGAGTTCCGCACATGAAATGAAGAGTCCAGGGTTATATAAGTGACAGCACTGTGGTCATCTGACTTGTAAACAATGGCACATAAATCCTCATTATTTCATGAAGGAACTAAATCTAAATGACGTCTGTGATGAGCCATAATTATTTTCATGTGAACATATAAGTGCCATCAATAATATGTACAAATACTCCATACTACTCAGACGTCACACATCACTTGACATACATCATGGACTCTGGGCTATGCGCGGGACATGCAGCTCATTGCTTCTGACATAACATACCGGTACTAGTCACTTTGGAGCTCACCTTCCGTACTCCAGCCCTCCACCTGTGAGAAAACTACAAATCCCATAATACATCTGTATCTGGCACTCATGCCTGTGGCTGTGAGAATCTTGCAATGCCTCATGGCATTTGTAGTTCCACAACAGCTGGAGGGCCAGAGTTTGCCCACCCCTGACTCAGGGCCAGTTCACACCAATTGCGGTGCATTCCAGAGTGGAAGCTGGCCACTCCAAACTGCCCCCCTTCATTCTGGGGCGGTGCATTGTAGTCAATGGCACCGCAGCCATGCCCCCCAGCCCGCAGTGTGATCAGACACGTGGCAAAACATTGCCCAGTGCGAACGCAAAAAAATAGAGCATGCAGCATTGTTTTGCCTTCGCACTGGACTGGAACGCAGGCAAGGTTTTGCCCTGCGACCGATCACACTGTGTGCACCAAATGCCTTTACAAACCCCCATATTAAAAGTAGCAGTGCCATCATCACTGTGCCGCACATGGCCTGCGCAGGGAGCAGAGCTGTGGGAGGAACCCAGCAGGCTCCACCCACTACAAGCAGAAAACTAAAGGAGGGGGCGGAGACAAGACCGGTCACCCTGCACAAGGAGAGAGAGCAGCAGTGACCTGTCTTTTTTACAGGAAGCTCACACTGGAATACTGCACAGATCTGGAGGAAATACACAAGATGAAGTAGGATCACACACGACTCTTGGATTGAGATAACATTGATTTATCCCGGAGCTCTGCTTACACAAAAAGAAAAAATATGCACTTCTGTCAAAGGAGTATGAGAATAAATAAAATGAGTGGATTTGTAAAGGTTTGTGTTAAAGGAAATGTTAAAAAAAAGGAACCCTTGCAGTGGGAGTTCCCCCGCTAGGGTGCAAAATAAAAAAGAAGTACTCACGCAAACCTCGGTCCTGCCCAGCTGCCAGACCAGTGCCCGCAACCTCTTCTCCCAAAGGCTCCTGCGGTCCGTTGACTTGCATTGGACGTGAGGACGCGGAGGAACATTCCGCAGCCGGAGCGGAAGGGAGAGCGAGGTGAGCAGTCACTGCCGCAGGACCAAGGATCAGGTGAGTGTATAAACCCTACCAGGGGTGGGCAAACTCCGGCCCTCCAGCTGCGGTGGAACTACAAATCCCATGAGGCATTGCAAGACAGCCACAGGCATGATGCCTAAAGGCAGATGCATGATGGGGAATGTAGTTTCACCACAGCTGAAGGGCCAGTTTGCCTAACCCAAAGGAAGCAGTTAACCCTTGTAGTGCTGGGGTAGCACACCTGCAAGGGTTCATTTTATTTTTTTGAAAAATCTTTTTATTCATTTTGCATAGTAAACAATTACATTACAGTAACATTCGGGCACCAACATAGCACCCCATTCATACACAACAGTGTATACATTACGGCATAACGTATGCCAACAACCGTAAAGGACTATGCAAGGTCCAATAACTAACCCTCTGACCATAACCCTCCCCCTCCCCTAGAAGGGGGGGTTCATTTTTGTTACCTGCCCGGAGCTGTTCTATAATACATAAACCCGTCCAGTCTTCAATTTACTGAGACGTGTTATGTACAATAGAGCAGCTTTTCACAACCTGGCTGCCTCGAAATGTTCACACAGCTCAGTCCCAGGGCTGTCCCCCAGGTCTGAGGTGATGTCCTCCGGTGGGTGCTGCAGATAATGTACAGAATTTTCCTCATTCAGGAAAACGTCACTACTTATGAAGTTTGTTTGGTTGAGTTTGTGAGGCTCCCAGGCTATAACATGTGCAACACATGCTACTTTCCTTGTGCCCAGCGCTGCATGTGTATCCGGTCTCCGGTGGGGCTGCGGGCTCAGCACACTACAGACGTGTGTTGGCTCCGCGCTGCACTCCAGTCCTTAGCAGGGGAGGTAAGCGGACTCCACCGTACACTGGAGCCTCCCGGAGCAGGTAGAGCGGGGCGGGGAGGAGGAATGTGGGCGGAGCCGGTGGGAGTAGATCTGGGCGGGGTCACCGAGGAGGAGGAGGCAAGCCAAGCGATGGAAGAAGAAACGGAGGAGGACGAGAACCTGCCACCGGGGGAAGAGCAGGGGATGCGGGACAGCCTGCTCGGGGGAACCCCGGAAGGGGTGTCGGTGCCCGCTCAGGTGCCCGGACAGGGCGAACGGGAGGACGAAGTGCGGGGCAGAGTGCCCGAGGGAGGGTTCGGCTGGGTGGTGGTTCTGGCGGCCACCTGGTGCAGCGGCTCCATCTTCGGCATCCAGAACTCATTTGGGATCTTGTATGTCATGCTGCAGAAGGAGATGGAAGGCAGCAAGGAACAAGGAATGGACTTCAAGACAGGTAAGGACCGGCCCGGTGCGGAGGGCACTGTCACACGCAGTGTTAGTAAATAGGGTGACAACTTCCTTCTCCGATGACAGCCTCCACGTGCTACACAGACCAACGAGCCCCCAGGACTTCTACACACGGCGACCAACTTCTCCAACTCCGGGGACAGCGATCGCTTACTCCGGGACACATCCGTACACGGGGAGAGGAGCTGATCTCCTCCGGGACACATCCGTACACGGGGAGAGGAGCTGATCTCCTCCGGGACACATCCGTACACGGGGAGAGGAGCTGATCTCCTCCGGGACATTCATGGGGAGGACATCTCCTGACTATCTAGGCACAGGCATGTCATGTGGCCACAGACTGATAGATCTGATCATACAATTGATCATTCAATGCATTGGAATAAAAGTCACAATCCTCCAATCAGTTTGATCGATTTTTGACTTCTGATCGATGGAAGGAATATCTGCATATGTCAGATGAACTGATCGTAGTTCAGATCCATGAAGTGATCACTTATGATACATATACATTCTTATATAAGGAATCGATATTTTCAGTCCATCACAAGGTGCAGACAATGCTGTGTGTTACATTCTTCGATATCTAACTGATGGGATGGATTGCATGTCAATCAGCCACAGATCAGTACATGTATGACCCCCTTTACGGAGATTGTACATGTCTGACGGTGTCTCACCTGTATCCAGGACCATTATGTGTCATTGTCCACGTGGGGGATGTCATTGGGTATCATACACTATACTATACAATCTCCTTTTTAATCTGAGGACAAAACTAAGCAATCCATTCACATTGCATCCAATCAGACAGCCCCTGCGCAGCATAGTTGCTGGAGATTGTACAATCAGCTTGCAAAGTGTATGGCCAGCAGTATATGATACATGGTCTGAATTCAGTGTAGATGTATCGGAGACGGTTATCTGTTGTGTACAATGTACAGGAGCTGTCAGGATCCCTCAATGAACATAGAGGAGGATGGAGCATGGAGTGGAATGTCAGATCCTTCACAGTGATCCACAGACCCCAAAATCCAATTCAGACCATTCCTCGTATGTTCCAATGCAGGCTCTGTCACAAGCATTACACGGGAACAACACTGGATGGATGTGACCCGTCCATTGACATATCTTCATCGTGTGCTCTTGATGGCAGACGTCGCTTCTCATTTTTTGCTCTAAGTGGCTGTGATCTGTCCCTTCACATCACTGAGTATTGTATAGCAGCCTGATGGCTTGTTCACATTGCATGCTTCCTGTTCACCATCCTGGGGATCGATAAAAGTCCGGCATCATTTGCAGGAATCGGGAGGATGTTAACAAGCCCACTTCTGTTCTTCCCGTATGTTCAGCACACACCGTATACAATCTGATTATACACCCCCCATAATGTTACCAAAACTGTGCATGCTTCAGCCAGGTAGACCAGTGACTCTAAAGGAGATTGTACAATCAGATTGTGACCTGTGTGGCCATCTATAGATCATTTACACGCTGCATTGTCTTTGCTGTTACTTTGTGGCATGTTGGCATCATGGAGGCATCACACGGACTGAAGCTGGCCATTGCTGTGAATTGCTTCTATTCGTTTCAGTGGTGACCTGGTGAAGGGTTTGTATTCTTGTCCGTCCTCACTGTACCATACATGTGTGCAGAATTGTATGTGTGTGTACTACCCTTGTTTGATACAATTTCCACAATGTGACACATGCCTAGTGTTGATGACACATGCAAAGTAAGTGTCCCCTTAGACTCCTTATATATTTCAATGGTTTTAGGGCCCATTCACTCTAAAGCATTCCATTGTGGTGCCATACGGCACACATTATTCTTAAGACAACCCATTCGTTATAAAGGGGCTGCCCACACACCACAATGAATAAAAACATGTACATGGCCCTTTAACAGCTCGGCGCACCACAATACATGGTGAAGGTGTTGTGCTGCACTGCAGTGTGTTCTGCGTTTGGGTTTCCTGTACAATGTATTGGGGTGCCATTTATTGCCACAACCTGTGAAAGGGCCATAAAAGCCCATGTGGTTCCCTGCTGGCTCGGCTGAAATTGGACCACTTCGGCACACCCACCCCTGTCAGAGTACAATATCCCCCATCCATGCTGTTTTGCTGTTGGGTGAATCAAGCGTTTTTTTCTCGTTGAGCTCTGGGCGATCAGTGTATGATCAGACAATGCGTGTATACAGTAGTAGACTTCTTTTGTTCAGCTTTTGTCTGAATAGAAAACCTCTAGCCAATTCCTCTATCCATGCTAAGAAGTGGGGACGGGGAATCTCTCGGTGCTGCAGCTATTGTAGTCTGTCAATTGGCCCCACCGGCTCTCCGAATACTTGACCAGTTTCTGCATCTAATTGGAGGTGATTGGATGTTCTGCTGATCATTTTTCTCCTGGCTCCTTCAGTTTTTTAATTGAACAATGTCAGGTGGGATTCGGCAGACATGCCACCCACTGAGCGAATTTCAGTCAGTTCATCAAGAGCCGTCCCAAATTTACTCAGTGCATAGGCAGCTATAGACTTTTACTTAACAGTGTCCCAGGTCAGGTCTGTGTATGTTATTACTAGCTCCAGGTTCTGTTCAAGTCATTTTGCCCAAGATTAATGTATGATAATGGGATTTTTTTTTTTTTTTTTTTTTTTTTTTTGGCCAACATGTTTTTTTTTTTGGGTCCTTCAGCTTTTGTCTGAATAGAAAACCTCTAGCCAATTCCTCTATCCATGCTAAGAAGTGGGGACGGGGAATCTCTCGGTGCTGCAGCTATTGTAGTCTGTCAATTGGCCCCACCGGCTCTCCGAATACTTGACCAGTTTCTGCATCTAATTGGAGGTGATTGGATGTTCTGCTGATCATTTTTCTCCTGGCTCCTTCAGTTTTTTAATTGAACAATGTCAGGTGGGATTCGGCAGACATGCCACCCACTGAGCGAATTTCAGTCAGTTCATCAAGAGCCGTCCCAAATTTACTCAGTGCATAGGCAGCTATAGACTTTTACTTAACAGTGTCCCAGGTCAGGTCTGTGTATGTTATTACTAGCTCCAGGTTCTGTTCAAGTCATTTTGCCCAAGATTAATGTATGATAATGGGATTTTTTTTTTTTTTTTTTTTTACCTTGGGCAACACGGTTCTTGCTTGTGGGCCCATTCATACCACATCCAGATAATCTCCGGACCACACCAGATTGTTTCCGGACCCAAAATGTATCCCTATGCTATTTCTGGCCTCTGTTCACACCAGCGCAGTCTGTTCCAGACCAGCAAAATACTGCATACCTCATTTTGTCTGGTCTGGAATGCATTGGAACTGCGGGCAGGTTTACACCATTTTCCGGACCAGATCTGGTCTGGAAAATGTTGTGAACCTGCCCTAGGGGCCCATTCACACCACATCCAGATCATCACCAGATTGTTTCCAGACCCAAAATGCATCCTAATGTATCCCTATGCTATTTCTGGCCTCTGTTCACACCAGCGCAGTCCGTTTCAGACCAGAAAAATACTGCTTGTCTTATTTTGTCTGCTCTGGAATGCATAGAAATTAATCAAACGCACTGGAACGCGCCTGTAAGACCATTTTAAGCTAAAAACAAACTCCCAAACGTGGCAAAATCGCTGTAAAAACACGGCAAAACGCAATGCACTGCGTTCCAGATCTGGCCCAGAAAATAGTGTGAACCTGTCCTAAGCATAGTGGTACATTGGGATGCATTTTGGGCCCGGAAACAGTCTGGTCTGGAGATGATCCGAACATGGTGTGAATGGGCCCTTAGTCCATCATCCTCATGTATAGAAATGTCTACCATTGGAGGTACATTGTATTTGATTCTAATTTGACAATCTGGCTGCATATTTTCCTCACTTTGTAAATATTATCAAACAATATGTCTGAACTTTGTCAGTTAGTCCATTGTTGGTACGCACTCCATTTACAGAGCTTCACCCACACATAGCAGTGACCGTCTGCCTGAGCTGGGTAGACGTCACAGGCATTCTGCTGAATTCTTCTTCCGCAATTACAAGACATTATTTCATCAGATAGGTAACCTACTTCATGTTCCGTGTTCTGAGCATGTTAAGCATCAATCTATTTACTGATGTGGTGTGATACCATCTGCCATCCAGCAGACAGATGGTGGACTCCCATTAGCGGAGCTTGCACCATGCATGTGGGAACTCCTGCCCCCGTTGTGCTATAGTATTAAGTGAAAGCTGAGCTCCTTCTTCCTATTCATGGACCAGGGGCCTCCGACTATACCTGTAATCTCCACAGACATTTGGTGATTACCTGCCTATCCATATATTTATGTGCTTATAGCAGCAGCTCTTGTTTAGTCAAAGACAAGCGATCAGATTATATATGGTGATGTTTTACTATGTACAGCGCTGCCAAAGTAGGACAACAATGTCATTTATAGTGACAGAAGCTTAACTGTACAATTACATGAATGCACTCTTATTGCAAAAATGACAACAACAAACAGTGATTTACCAAGATGTATGACATTGTGTGGTTGTTTTTTTTAATTTTCCAATGAACTTTGCTAATAAGCTGTATTTTTTTTCCCCTTTTGTTCCCTATATGGGATGCCATCTCAGGATGAATCCTTGCTGAATGCACCCCCTAGACTTTGACCCATACAAGAGCTACATATAAACATCTCAGGTTGTTACTTTTTTTTACAGAAGAATTGAGGACCAGACTTTGGTCCTATCTAATGAATAAGCAGTCCAGGAGTCTTGCAATGCCTAATGGGACTTGTAGGTGCACCACAGCTGGAGGGCCGAAGTTTGCCTACACCTGCTATAGAGCTTTGGTACTTACTTTTCAGCCTCGCGTTAATTCACTACTGGCCCTTTATCTTCATTGTCACTTGTAATTATAACTAGGGATGCACCGATCCCAGTGTCTCGGTATCGAGTACCGATTAGTTATTTTCGGTGCTTGCCAGTACTGGTGCCGTGTGCTCCGATTAT